GGAGAGATTAGCTTCAGCCAGGTCACCTAAGAGGCATCGCAAAGCCAGAACTAACACCCAGATTTCCTACGTTCCAGGGACGGAGGTGGGGATCACAGGGTTGCGCTGTGTCAGCCCTCCTAGTACCCTCTCAGTCCGAGGATCCTCACGTGGGAGGCTATTGGACAGGCCCAATTTCCTGTCTCTCGTTTGCTTCCACCTTCTGCCCTTCCATCCTGGGACAGCCCTTTGCTAGATACTGCATGAGGTTCTTGCACTTTCCAGCCCCTAAAACTGTGAAACTGTGAGCAAAATAAACTTTGATTCTTGCCGGGCGCGGTGGCTCACGCCTGTAATCCCAGCACTTTGGGAGGCCGAGGCGGGCGGATCACAAGGTCAGGAGATCGAGACCACGGTGAAACCCCGTCTCTACTAAAAATACAAAAAATTAGCCGGGCGCGGTTGTGGGCGCCTGTAGTCCCAGCTACTCGGGAGGCTGAGGCAGGAGAATGGCGTGAACCCGGGAGGCGGAGCTTGCAGTGAGCCGAGATCGCGCCACTGCACTCCAGCCTGGGCGACAGAGGGAGACTCCGTCTCAAAAAAAAAAAAAATAAAAAAAAATAAACTTTGATTCTTTACAAATTATCCAGTCTGTGGTTTTCCGATTTAGCCAGCACAAAACGGGCTAAGACACTTGGATTTTACTGAAATGGGAAGCCATAGAAGGTGTTCTGAGCAAACACAGGAACAGACTTTTTTTTTCTTTCTTCTTTCTTTCTTTCTCTTTTTTTCTTTCTCTTTTTTTTTTTTTTGTTTGAGACGGAGTCTTGCTCTGTTGCCCAGGCTGGAGTGCAGTGGCGCGATCTAGGCTCACTGCAAGCCCCACCTCCCGGGTTCACGCCATTCTCCTGCCTCAGCCTCCCAAGTAGCTGCGACTACAGGCGCCCGCCACCACGCCCGGCTAATTTTTTTTGTATTTTAAGTAGAGACGGGGTTTCACCGTGTTAGCCAGGATGGTCTCCATCTCCTGACCTCGTGATCCGGCCGCCTCAGCCTCCCAAAGTGCTGGGATTACAGGCGTGAGCCACTGTGCCCGGCCAAGTCTCACTTTTTTTACCCATGCTGGAGTGCAGTGGAGAAATCTCAGCTCACTGCAACCTCCGTCTCCCGGGTTCAAGCGATTCTCCTGCCTCAGCCTCCCGAGTAGCTGGAATTGCAGGCACAAACTACCATGCCCAGCTAAGTTTTGTATATTTAATAGAGACGGGGTTTCTCCATGTTGGCCAGGCTGGTCTCGAACTCCTGCCCTCAAGTGATTCACCAGCCTTGGGCTCCCAAAGTGCTGGGATTACAGGCGTAGCCACCACACCCGGCCTCTTTCTTTTTTTTTTTTTTTTTTTTTTTTTTTTGAGACGGAGTCTCGCTCTCTCGCCCAGGCTGGAGTGCAGTGGCCGGATCTCAGCTCACTGCAAGCTCTGCCTCCCGGGTTTACGCCATTCTCCGGCCTCAACCTCCCGAGTAGCTGGGACGACAGGCGCCCGCCACCTCGCCCGGCTAGTTTTTTGCATTTTTTAGTAGAGACGGGGTTTCACCGTGTTAGCCAGGATGGTCTCGATCTCCTGACCTCGTGATCCACCCGTCTCGGCCTCCCAAAGTGCTGGGATTACAGGCTTGAGCCACCGCGCCCGGCCCCTCTTTCTTTTTTTGAGACAGGGTCTCCCTCTATTGCCCAGGCTGGAGTGCAGTGGGTGTGCCCACAGTTTACTGTGGCCTCGACCTCCTGGGCTCAAACAGTCTTCCCACCTCAGCCTCCCAAGTAGCTGGGACTACAGATATATGTCACCACATCCAAATAATTTTATTTTTTTGTAGAGACCGGGTCTCACTTTGTTGCCCAGGCTCCCTTTTTTATTTTAATTTTTTTCATTTTATTATTATTATTCTGAGGTGGAGTTTCACTCTTGTTGCCCAGGCTAGAGTGCAATGGCACAATCTCCACTCACTGCAGCCTACACCTCCCAGGTTCAAGCAATTCTCCTGCTTCAGCAGCCTGAGTAGCTGGGATTACAGGCACGTGCCACCACACCTGGCTAACTTTTGGGTTTTTAGTAGAAACAGGGTTTCGCCATGTTGGCCAGGCTGGTCTTGAACTCCTGACCTCAGGTGATCCACCCACCTCAGCCTCCCATAGTGCTGGGATTACAGGCGTGAGCCACCATGCCCAGCCAATTTTTATGTATTTGAGACAAAGTCTCTGTTGCCCAGGCTGAAGTGCAGTGTCCCAATCTTGGCTCACTGCAGCCTCCACCTCCCTAATTCAAGCGATTCTCCTTTGTCAGCCTCCGGAGCAGCTGGGATTACAGGCATCCACCACCATGCCTGGCTAATTTTTGTATTTTTAGTAGACACAGGGTTTCATCTGGTTAGTCTCAAACTCCTGACCTCAAGCAATAACGTCCGCCTCAGCCTCACAAAGTGCTGCAATTATAGGCATGAGCCATCACGCCCAGCCCTATCATTTTAAAAGATCATTTTAAATGCACTGTGGTAATTTTACTGCTGATGGGCAAGAGTGGAATCAAGAAAACTAGCTAGGAGGCTACAGCTGTAATTCTAGGGAGAGATGACACCGTGCAATCCGGAATAGGGTGATTTCAGAATATGGTTTGATGAGTAAAGCTAGAGCTGTCAGTATTTGCTGATGAATTGGTTGAAAGGTGAGAGAGACTGGAGGCAAGGACTACTCCAGGGTTTTTAAAACGAGTATTGGGAAAAAAGGAGTGGTCACATAGTAAAGTAGAGAAGACTGGGGAAGGAGCCAGTAGGAGGACTGGAAATCTGGAATTGGGGTTTGGACACATTAAGTTCATTGCATCAGGTGGAGATGTTGTATTGAGTAGGCAGTTGGGGATACAGACCTGGAGTCTGTGGGAGACAGTAGGGTTTCTTTGGTGGGGGGTCATCGGCATCTAAGTGCTCTATTCGAAGTCATGGGACGCACAAAATTATTAACAATGTGTGGCCGGGCGTGGTGGCTCATGCCTGTAATCCCAGCACTTTGGGAGGCCGAGGCAGGTGGATCACGAGGTCAGGAGATCGAGACCATCCTGGCTAACATGGTGAAACCCCGTCTCTACTAAAAATACAAAAAAAATTAGCTGGGCATGGTGGCGGGCGCCTGTAGTCCCAGCTACTCGAGAGGCTGAGGCAGGAGAATCACTTGAACCTGGGAGGCAGAGCTTGCAGTGAGCGGAGATTGCGCCACTGCACTCCAGCCTGGGCGACAGAGCGAGACTGTCTCAAGAAAAAAAAAAAACAACCAATGTGAATATTCACAAGTTTGAAAAAAAAGTATGAATGTATGGAAGAGGGGGGTCACACTTTACCTCTTATTATCCCACCCCCAGGGGTGACCCTGTGAGCCACACCACACAGGTACACACATGCACACATACGTACACACACTGTCACAGAGGGGCAAAGGGGGTTAGTGAGAGCGGGACTCAGAGCAGATCTCAGGCCTCAGAAACCCATGCCACCTGGGCCCCCTCCCTGTGGCCTTCCTGGATGCTGCAGGGATAGCAGATCTGTCTGGGTCAGCAGGGCAAGGAGACCGGCAGGAGAGGGTGGCTGGGAGGCCTCTTCCTCCAAGAGCAGAGGCAGCACATCATCCAACAGGCAGAGAAGACCCTCATCCGGAGGTGGGGGCAGGTCAGGGTGGAGAGCCTGCCTTCTTCCCCCAGTGCCCCACACAAAGCTCCAAGAACTCCAGCAAGTTCCTGTCTGTTTCCACTTCCCAGATTTTCTGTGGTCATGTCCCTGCCCACTCCAAAGGGCTATCCCCCTCACTCTTCCCTCCCTCTCAGACCCAGCTGAATCCCTCCCTCAGTACCGTCCCCTCCTGGGGCACTCCTGCCCTCTTCCTCTGCTGCATCCCCACCTAGCCTCTTACCTGTTCACTCCTCCCCCGCACCAGACCTCCACAGAAGTTCAGAGAGTTTCTCTACAACCCTACTGCCCCTATCAATGACTCCTGCCCCCGCTGGGACTCTCCACTGGGCTCAGGAACGACAGGCCGTTGTAGCAAAGTAGCCAGTCCTGTAGCCCCAGCTGGAACTCCTGGTGAGGCAGCTTCCCAGATGGTGGGGATCTCTCAGTCTTCTGGGGCAGAGCAGGGTGAGTGGGGCTGTCTCCCTTTGATTCATTTAACCCTCTTTCTTCTTTACACATTTGCAAAATGTGACAGTAGTCATATTACTATTCGTTCTAATAACAGTCCTTGTTGGCTATTAAGACCTCTATACCAGCACTTTCAGGCGTTATCTCCACCATTACTAAAACCCATTAGATAGGCATTATTATACCCATTTTACAGATGAGAAAGACTCAGAGGGCCGGATGGGGTGGCTCATGCCTGTATGCCCAGCACTTTGAGAGGCTGAGGCGGGCGGATCACATAAGGTCAAGAGTTTGAGACCAGGCTGACCAACATGGAGAAACCCCATCTCCACTGAAAATACAAAATTAGCCGGGCATGGTGGTGCATGCCTATAATCCCAGCTGAGGCAGGAGACTCACTTGAACCCGGGAAGCGGAGATTGTGGTGAGCCGAGATCACCCCATTGCACTCCAGCCTGGGCAACAAGAGCAAAACTCTGTCTCAGGAAAAAAAAAAAAAAAAAAAGAAAGAAAAGAAAGACTCAGAGAAAGTAAGGAACTTGCCTGAGGTCTCATGGCTAATGGGGTCCAGGTCATAACCTGACTCTACTCCAACCCAAGTGCCACCTAACTCCTCCTGCAGATGCCCATTGGGTATCCAGAGACTGTGTCTGGGCTTAACGTGGACTTGAGGCGTGATCCTGGGCTGCTTCTTTCTGGACTTCGGTTTCTGAGTTGCTCGGTTGGTTGGTTGATTTGATTAACTGACGGGTCTCACTCTGTCGCCCAGGCTGGAGTGCAGTGGCCCCATCATGCTCACTGCACCCTCCAACTCCTGGGCTCAAGGAATGGTGCCACTGTGCTGATTTTTTAAGTTTTTTATTTTTGTAGAGATAGGGGTCTCACTATGTTGCTCTGGCTGGTCTCCAACTCCAGGGCTTGAGCAATCCTCCTGTCTCCGTCTCCCAAAGCGCTGGTATTACAGGCGACAGCCATTGCGCCTAGCTGCGCTGGTAAAACTGGCTAACGCGATCTATCTTAGCCACCCACAGCCGCCGCCACCACCACCGCCGCCCCGTCCCCAGGGACCACACAGACCCAGAGGACAAAGAAGGGCGAGGGAGACAGCGGCTGAGGAAGCCTTTACTGCGGGGCGGCTGGAGGATCGCCGAGCTCAGGGTCCCCCACCTCACTGGGCCCGGCCCCGGCCCCAGGCCCGGCCCCAGCCTCGGCCTCTGCCGGATCGTCGCCGAACACGTGCCGGTGCATGGCGGCCACGTAGTTGGAGCCGCTGGGGTCGTCCAGGCGCATCCGCAGCAAGGGCAAGAAGCGCTCGGTGGTGAAGTAGCGCAGGGTCGGCTTCGGGGCGCGTAAAGCGGTGAGGAAGACCTGCGGCAGCGGAAGGAGCGCTCTGGCCACCAATGCGCGCCGGGAGACGCACCGCCCCGGCTCCCGGAGTCCAGCCCCGCGCTCACCTCCGTCACCTCTTCAGGGTTCTGCGCCGCCTCGCGAAAGACCTGCTTGCTGTGGGCGAGGTATTGGTAGAAGCGGTGGAAGGTGTGGATGTCCGTGCGGTCCAGCACCTCGTCTGGGCTGCCCAACACCTTCTCCATGAAGGCGGTGTGCACTGGGCCGCACTCGATCAGGCTCAAGCTGCCGGCCCGAGAGCAACGAGTGGGCGGGGGCGGACGCGAGCCAGGCACCAGTCCCAGCCCCAACTCCAGCCCCAGCCCCGACCACGTCCCGGGCCCCGCACCGCTGCGCTGCGCAGTGAGGCAGAAAGGGTGCTGGTGATAACCAGAACATTTGAAACGCGGGTTCCTGCTGGAGCAGCCCTCCCAAATCCATCTGAGGCTACGCAGGAGCCCTGGCACACAGCAAAAGTGAGCCGGGCAGGGAGGGCCAGGGAGATCGCCCCAGAGCAGCTCCCGCATGACGGGGTGCTCGGGGTCTCTAGGTCAGAGTTCAGAGGGTTGGGGAGACGGAGGTGTTGACTCACTGGACCCCAAAGGGCAGCAGCAGAACTGCCAGACTCTCGCATAAGCCTTCGAGCGCGAACTTGCTGGCGCAGTAAACGTCATTGAAGGGTAGCCCTTAGGTGGGGAGACGAGGTTCCTGAGGCCCAGGGGCCAGGGGGTCATACCCGGGAAGGCGGTGCCCCTCCAAGCTGACTGTACCCCTACCCCTACCCCCCTACCCTCCCACCGGAGCCTGCTTTCAAGGCTCAGCTCCCCACACAATCTGGAGCTGCGGAGGCCAGTACCTACCACTCACCCATCAATCCTCCCACGCTCCCGGTCACCAACACGCGTCCCGAACCGCGCCGCTTCATGTCTGGCAGGAAGGCCTGCAGCACCCGCACCGTCCCCACCACGTTCACGTCCAGCACAGAGGCCACAGCGTCCTCCCCCACCGCCTCCAGCGGCCCCAGTAGGCCCAGGCCTGCGTTACACACTGCAGGACAGAGGCCCGACCAGCCTGCCTCAGCATCACCCTCAGCACAGCCTGTCCCCTCGTGCTCCCTGGGCCTCGGGACATGTTGGGTTGAAGGCAGGGTGGAGAAAGCTCCTAGGAGCCCATGTGTTTCTGGGAGGCTCACCCAGCACGTCCACACGGCCCTCAGTCACGCGTTCCCGGGCAGCGGCCACGGATTTTGAGTCCCTTACGTCCAGCTGCAACGTCTCTAGGGATCCCAGAGGGCATCCCCGGGCCCGGGCCGCCTCCCACAGCCGGCACTGTGTTTTCAGGTCCCTCAATGTGGCATATACTGGAGGTTTTGGGGGAGAAGGAAGATCTGACTTGTTTTCTGGCCTCCAGGGGCTCCTCCCTTCTCTCCCTCCCTGTCCCTACCTATCTATACCTTTGAAGCTCTGGGATGGGTCTGAAGCCAGACGTACCGCCAAGTGCAGGCCGATGCCCGAGGAGCAGCCGGTGATGAGCACCACGGTGCGGGCCATGGTGAGACTGTGGGGAGAGGCTGGGGCTCTGGGCTGGATATCACCTGCTTCGCCCCGCCCCGCCCGCAGGCCCCCACCCCTTGTTGTGTCTCCCACGCAATCTCAAGGATAAGCCCTCCTGCGGGTCCCTGGCCTGATCTCCCCACCCTGTTCTGAGCCAAAACAGACATGAGCCCACTGCTTAGAACACCAAACTGTCCTGGTTGCTGGTCAGAGGGAGGGGAGGTGTGGGTTCCCACGTGGGCACAGAGTAGCCCCCGGGGAAGATTCCCCTGGGTATGCCTCTGTGCCACCGGAGCAATTATAGTGACCACAGTTTGCTGCAGAGGCTGTGAAAGTAAAGGCGCTGGGAGGTGGGAGATGATTGTATATGTGTTGGTTTTGTCCACAGTTCCTAGCTCATAACTCACATGACCATGGTTAGTCTTTCATTGTAATGTTGGGGCACCTCAGGCCTCAAAAAACAGCCTCTCCTCTCTCTGACCTTCTCCTGTCCTCTTTTCAGCTGCCCAAGGCAGGACTCTAATCTGATTGTGGTTGTAGGATCCTCATTCCAGAGTGGGTCCTTGCCCCATACCCTGGAGAAAGGAATGCTGCACAAAGGCCCAAAGAATCTGGACCAGCCTTGCTAGGCTTAGATCAGACCCTTTTTGCCCAGTCACATTATCACAGTTGTCCATGCTTCAATCATGGACAGCCAATGGAGTTCTCCATAAAAGGCCCAAAGGACAGGGTTCGGGGAGCTTCTGAGAGCTCAACACGTGGAGGCTGACAGAAGGTGAAGAACTCATCCATGTGCCCAGAGGGTGACGTAACCCAAACTCTACAGAGACAGAAGCTCCTGCTCTGGACCCTTCCAGACCACCCTGTCTGTATCTTGTTTTTTTTAATTTTTTGAGACGGAGTCTCGCTCTGTTGCCCGGGCTGGAGTGCAGTGGTCGGATCTCAGCTCACTGCAAGCTCCGCCTCCCAGGTTTACTCCATTCTCCTGCCTCAGCCTCCCAAGTAGCTGGGACTACTCACCTGGCTAGTTTTTTGGGGTTTTTTTTTTTTTTTTTTTTTTTTTTTGAGACGGAGTCTCGCTCTGTCGCCCAGGCTGGAGTGCAGTGGCGAGATCTCGGCTCACTGCAAGCTCCGCCTCCCGGGTTCACGCCATTCTCCTGCCTCAGCCTCCCGAGTAGCTGGGACTACAGGCGCCCGCCACCGCGCCCGGCTAGTTTTATTTTTTGTATTTTTTTTAGTAGAGACAGGGTTTCACCGTGTTAGCCAGGCTGGTCTTGATCCCCTGACCTCGTGATCCACCCGTCTCGGTCTCCCAAAGTGCTGGGATTACAGGCTTGAGCCACTGCGCCCGGCTAGTTTTTTGTATTTTTTAGTAGAGACGGGGTTTCACCGTGTTAGCCAGGCTGGTCTTGATCCCCTGACCTCGTGATCCGCCCGTCTTGGCCTCCCAAAGTGCTGGAATTACAGGCTTGAGCCACCGCGCCCAGCCTGTCGGTATCTCTTCATCAGGCTATTTATTTCTAACCTTTAAAATATCCTTCGAGGCTGGGCACAGTGGCTCATGCCTGTAATCCCAGCACTTTGGGAAACTGAGGTAGGGGGATTGCTGGAGCCCAGGAGTTCAAGACCAGCCAGGGCAAGAGTGAGACCCGGTCTCTACAAAAAATATTTAAAAATTAGCTGGGTGTGGTGGTGTGTGCCTGGAGTCCCAGCTTACTTGGTGGGGGATCAAGGCTGTAGTGAGCCAAGATCGTGCCACTGCACTCCAGCCTGCATGACAGAGCCAGACCCTGCCACTGTACTCACTCTGGGTGACACAGTGAGACCCTGTCTCAAAAAAAAATGAAGAGAGAAAAAAATTTTCCTTGTAATAAAGCAGTAAATAAGGGTTTCCCTGTGTTTGGGTCACTAGAGCAAATGAGTTGACTCCATAGAGGGGAAGGGGGTCTCAGGAACTCCAACTTGAAGCCAGTCAGTCAGAAGTTCTCGGGACCAGGACTTGTGACCTGTGGGAAGGAGGGTGTAGTCTCATGAGTCTGTGCCCTCACCCTGTGGTATCTGACGCCGTCTCTGGTTGATTACATTGGAACTGAACTTGAGGACACCCAGCTGCTCTTCACTGCTTGCCGCGTGGGAAAAATTCTCCAAATATTTGGTGACAGAAGTCTCCTGTGTTGGTGACTGTTGTGGCATGACAGCTAAGGAAAACACTGTTTGAAAAAAGGTTTTCCTGGCCAGGAGCAGTGGCTCATGCCTGTAATCCCAGCTCTTTTTAAGAGGCTGAGGCGGGCTGATGATGAGGTCAGGAGTTCGAGATCTGCCTGGCCGATAATTAGCCCGGCGTGGTGGCACGCGTCTGTAGTCCCAGCTACTCCGGAGGCTGAGGCAGAAGAATTGTTTGAACCCAGGCGGCGGAGGCTGCACTGAGCCAAGATGGCGACACTGCACTTCAGCCTGGGCATCAGAGAGAGACTGTCTCTAAAAAAAAAAAAAAAAAGAGGTTTTCCTTCAACAGGAGGCATTCTCCTTTCAAAGGAGAGGGGTTAGTATTAAAAACAGGGATGTGATCCAGCACTATGGCTCACTCCTCTAATCCCAGTACTTAGGGAGGCCAAGGCAGGAAGGCAGGTGGATCACTTGAGGTCAGGAGATCAAGACCAGCCTGGCCAACATGGTAAAACCCCGTCTCTACTAAAAATATAAAAATTAGCCGGGAGTGGTGGTGTAAGCTTGTAGACACAAAAGAATCGCTTGAAACCAGGAGGTAGAGTTTGCAGTGAGCAAAGATTGTGCCATTGTACTCCAGCCTGGGCAAAGAGCAAGACTCCATCTAAAACAAAACAAAACAAAACAAAACAAAAAAACAAACAAAAACAGGGATGTGAGGCAAGGGATGGGAGAACAGGTCCCACCCCAGGGCCATGCTATAGCCCTGAGTCTTCCCAATCATGGCAGAGTCCTCCCAATCATTCTCATTCTGACAGACCCAGGGGACTCATCAGTTTAAGTGGAAAGAAAACAGTACTTTAATCCCACACTTTGGGTGGTGGTGGAGGGCAGTTCATTTCCCTCCAGTTGCCCCAGGCCACACCCCACCAGCAGGCCATGGGGCCTCCTCCCAGGCCTGGGTTATCCTGTGATGCTTGTCCAGCTCCAGGCCCTGGAACCTGCCCCGGCTTGGAGTTAGTGGAAAACAAGGCCCAGGGGTGGCGAATCTATCACCAAGAGCCAGCCACCCAGCGGGGGTAATATTTGAGGAAGATCTTCTTGGCCAGGTCCACAGTGTCTCCTCGTGGCTGGCTGGGGTACCTCTGCTTGCTGAGGACAAAGGCCTGCTCCAGTTGGAAGACATTTTTGTCAAACTGGTGCTGTTGGAAAGGGATGCCCTGGGCCACACTGTCAGCCAGCGCCTCCAGGAAGAGCCGCCAGCGAGGGGTGTAGTAGTTGGCCACCAGCCCCGCCAGCTGCTTGTTGGCGTAGTCCAGGATGTTGCCTTCTGGCCCCCAAAGGGTCAGCTGGTAGCGGCTGTTCTGCTCATAGAAATCGGCCTCGGCCTCACTGACGGCCGCTGCTCGGGCCTGCTCCAGCCAGCTGCCCAGCAAGAAGCGGCTGTCACTTGCCAGCAGCTCGTCCAGCGCCGGCAGCAGCTCATAGGCCAGGACGCCTCCAGCCCTCAACAGGGAAGTCAGCTCCTTGCTCAGGTAGGCACTCCTTGCCTCCTCATAGTACAAGCTGACCAGCTCCTGCACCGCCTGCCGAGTGAGGTCCAGCAGGTCATAGCGGAAGGCAGGGCTGGCGGCCAGGGAGGGAGCAGATGTGAGCAGCAGCCGCCAGGCCTCAAACACACTGGATCGGTTGTACCAGACACTGGTATTCATCTGTAGGGACGGCCGCCTGACCAGCGGGCTGCGATTGTGGCCCCTGCAGGCCTCCCCGGAGCAGTTGTACACACTCCGGAGCAGTAGTCTCCACGCTGCCCCTGCGTCCGGGTGGGAGACCCCATACCGCTGGGCAGCAAAGTTGGTCACCCAGGCTGCCAAATCTGGCACTGGGTCCTTTCGCCAGCCCAGCTCAGCCATGAGGGAATAGACCACTTCGTTCTGGCTGATGCCCTCGGGGGCCATGCCCGTGCCTACCATGGTGGAGTTGGGGAAGAGGCGGGCAGCTTCTGGGCCTCCGTTCACGGCCTCCAGGGCTCCAAACAGACCATGGTTTCCCCCAAAGTTGTGCAGCATGCACCAGATGAAGGGCTGGCCCTGGAAGGAGGCGGTGCGGGTGTACACAGGCTGGCTCTCAGCAAACAGGTCCAGAACCAGGAGGCGGCCACGAGGCACAGCCCCCAGCACAGCCCCAATCTGGGCGGGCCCCCAGAACTGGGGCTGGTGCTGGAAGAGCCAGCCTTGAAGCAGCCACACAGCCTCAGTATCCACTGTGGTCAGGAGGTGGGGGGAACAGAGAAGAGGAGTGATGAGACAGAGGGGCCAGGGAATGTTCACCCCACTCTACGGATGACTCTCTCTATCCCAGGGCATGGCTTCCCGTGACCCCCACCAGCGGGACGCTCTGTCGCACATACGCTGCCCCGTCCTTATCGCTTCCTTCTGGAAACTCCAGCACAGGGTTCAGCAGCTTGGGGGTACATGAGAGTTACCCAGAGGGCTCCTTAAAACATGGAGCTTCCTGGCCGGGCGCGGTGGCTCACGCCTGTAATCCCAGCACTTTGGGAGGCCGAGGCAGGTGGATCATGAGGTCAGGAGATCGAGACCATCCTGGCTAACATGGTGAAACCCCGTCTCTACTAAAAAATACAAAAAAATTAGCCAGGCATGGTGGCGGGCGCCTGTAGTCCCACCTACTTGGGAGGCTGAGGCAGGAGAATGGCGTGAACCCGGGAGGCGGAGCTTGCAGTGAGCCGAGATCACACCACTGAACTCCAGCCTGGGCGACAGAGAGAGACTTGATCTCAAAAAAAAAAAAGGCGGGGTGCGGTGGCTCAAGCCTGTAATCCCAGCACTTTGGGAGGCCGAGACGGGCGGATCACGAGGTCACAAGATCAAGACCATCCTGGCTAACATGGTGAAACCCCGTCTCTACTAAAAAATACAAAAAACTAGCCGGGCGAGGTGGCGGGCGCCTGTAGTCCCAGCTACTCGGGAGGCTGAGGCAGGAGAATGGCGCAAACCTGGGAGGCGGAGCTTGCAGTGAGCTGAGATCTGGCCACTGCACTCCAGCCTGGGCGACAAGAGCGAGACTCCATCTCAAAACAAACAAACAAACAAACAAAAAACAAACAAAAAACGTGGGGCTTCCTGGCTGGGTGGGGTGGCCCACACCTATAATCCCAGCACTCTGAGTGGCCGAGGAGGGTGGATCACTTGAGCCCAGGAGTTCCAGTCCTGCCCGGCCAATGTGGGGAAACCCTGTCTATACTAAAAATACAAAAGTTAGCCTAGGGTAATGGCAGGTGCCTATAATCCCAGCTACTGGGGAGGCAGAGGCACAAGAATCACTTGAACCCATGAGGCAGAAGTTGTAGTGAGCCGAGATTGTGTCACTGCACTCCAGTCTGGGTGACAGAGTAAGACTCTATCTCAAAAACAAAATCAAGGCCAGGCACAGTAGTCCCACGCACGCCTGTAATCCCAGTACTTTGGGATGCCGAGGTGGGTGGATCACCTGAGGTCAGGAATTTGAGACCAGCCTGGCCACCATGGTGAAACCCTGTCTCTACTAAAAATACAAAAATTGGCCAGGCGAGGTGGCTCACACCTATAATCCCAGCATTTTGGGAGGCTGAAGTGGGCGGATCATTTGAGGTCAGGAGTTCAAGACCAGCTTGTCCTACATAGTGTAACCCTGTCTCTACTAAAATACAAAAATTAGCCAGGCGTGGTGGGGGCCACCTGTAATCTCAGCTACTCAGGAGGCTGAGGCAGGAGAATCGCTTGAACTCAGGAGGCAGAGGTTGCAGTGAACTGAGATCATGCCACTGCACTCCAGCCTGGGTGACAGAGTGAGACTCTGTCTCAAAACAAACCAACAAAAATTGCCGGGCGTGGTGGTGCGTGCCTGTAGTCCCAACTACTCGGGAGACGGAGGCAGGAGAATCACTTGAACCTAGGAGATGAAGGTTGCAGTGAGACGAGATTGTGCCACTGCACTCCAACCTGGGCAACAGAGTAAGACTCTGTCTCAAAAAAAAAAAAAAAAAAAATGTAGCTTCTGCTTCAGAATTTGCTATCTCACAGCTCAGGGTGCTGCTGCTGCTGGTTTGGGCCACATCAGAGCAGTGCTGCTCAAGAAAGGCTAAGCTGATCTGTTCTCTTCCTGGCCAACAGAGACGCCTCTCCACCAAGTCATTCCTGACTTGGGCGCCCTCCCCTCCACTCCTCGTAAGTGGCAGGAAGGAGCCCTGGCTTCACAGTTTTGTAGCAGGATGGGCACTTAGTGCCTTTAGGCGCATCCACTCACCTCCTGCCTGCAGTGCCTACCTCAGCAACCACACAGAGACCAAACAAAGTCCTTGTTCATCGCTAGCCCTTAGTGGCCTTCACGCTGGGCCAGGCGTTACTCTACCTATGAGGTATTCCCTGTTTACAGGGAAAACAAATGAGACACTGGCAATGAGGTCAGAAGTCGTAAGTCACATGGCCAGGAAATAGGAGCGCCAGGTGTGACCCAGGTTGTCAGCCTCCAGAGCTCACCTCTCAACCACAGTGGGATTCACTGAGACGACGCATGTGTACAAGTGCTTGGTAAACTGTAAAGTGCTGTGTGCTATGGCGAGGCATTATTCCAGTCCCTCTGCCTACCCCTGTTGACATCTGCTACTCCCTTCTTTATGAGGGTCTGGGGGGCTCTCCCACCTCCCCCAGGCACTGTACCTGCAATCATGGCCTCATAGACGGCCGTGGTGGCTGCGGCAAGGTAGGAGGGCGCTGAGGAGGGTGGCTGCATCTCGTTGAAAGTGTCGGCCCCATAGATGTGGTCTGTGCCAAACTCTTTGACCAGCTCTCGCAGGAAGAGGCTCCCGATGACGGGGAACATGGGGTCTTCCGGAGCCAGAAGGAAGGAGCAGGAGTAGGAACAGTTGAAGTGTCCCCAACTGCCCATCTTCGTGACATTGACCTGAGGGAACACCCTAGTGGGAAGCAAAAGCTCAGACATTTCATGGAAGCCACCATAGTGTACATCATGGCCCACAGCCCCTCAGCAGCCTCGCCAACTTCTCTACAGCTCCCGGGGCACATCCCGGTTTCTCTCGCCCCTATGGCTTGTACAGGCTGTGCTCTCTGCCTAGAGTCGTTTCCTCTCCTTCCCTGGCCACCTTCGCTGAAA